CCCCAAAACCCCAAAACCCCAAAACCCCAAGTTCTTAATTATAATTTATTTTAGATTTTTTAGATAATTTTATGCCAACTAAGGCTCAAAGTAGGTACTTATAGTCAGCATTTTGGGAATAGAGGTAACCCATACTTATAGAAAAGTCCTCGTTTGATTTCAGCTTATCTAAAAGTACAGATCTTGGGGTCCAAGATGCAATCTTCTTGGATAAAAGTAACAGTGAGTGTAACAATATAGCATCAATTTATAATTTCTTTAAGTTTTACATAAGCAATGAGAAGTACTTGAGCCAAGCACTTGACAATCTAAATCCTCCTTCTAAGATCAATAAGGAGAAAATAGGAATGATATTTTCTAAACTTGATCCAAAGGCATTCCAAGCACTCTTCTGGCTAGTCTTTTATTTTGAATTCAATCGCTTTAAAGACTCTAGGTTAGAATATTTCCTAAGAAAATAACCTGATCAAAGCTTATGCAGACTTTTACATGAAGGTAACTCAGTCAGAAAGAGATGCGATTATTGATTATCTTCCATTTTTGCTCGGATTTGCTGCACTGAAATGATTTTATTATACATTCCCAAGCTCAAGAGCACTTTTCTCTAAGAAATTTGGTACAAAGTTATTTCAGTATGTGATACTTGAGCTTCAAGGAGTTGCTATTTCTGATATATTCGTCGAAAAATAAGGTCCTCAAAATATTTGATGAAGATATTCTGGCATGGGTAAACAAGACAGCAGATACACCAGATTCTACTAACACTCCTGCTGTATCACAAGCTGTTAGAAGAAAATAAGAAGCAGAGACTCTCTCTTCCAAGAAATTTGAAGAGAATACCTGAAAGTGGTGGCAAATAGGGAATCTTTTGTCAACAAAGACATCTCAATGCTTCTCACTATACCTAAGAAGAAAGAAAAAGTCAGGGTTGCTAAAAAGAATCTCAAAATAATAACACTGCCTAAAAATATGGCACGAATCCAATATGAAAAAAGGCAAATCAAAAGTTCACAGAAAATACATCGTGGCGATATCTCTGCTAGCAGAAATGAGCCTATCACACCAAATAAGAAAGTGAGGTTTGATCTGGATGCCAGACCACCAGCTCTTAAGCCAGCAAGGAAGATGTCTAATACTTCTATGGGGACAGAGATCTCAAACCCCTTCGAATCTTTGGAGATTCCTCCTGAATATCTATCAAATCTTGACAAGAAGCAGCTAAATGTTTCACTACTTAAAACTCTAAGTGAGGAAAGGATCATGAAGTTGAAGAACAGGTCTAAAAATATTGGTATACAACTTTCTGATGTATAGTAAAAATGGTACAGGCTCTCAACCACGATAAAAGAATTAGGAGAAAAACACAGGAGACTAGTAAGCAAGCCCTAATCTGTATAGGCCATAAAGTAGAAAAAACTACACATGAGAATTTATTACTTAAAAGGACAGTAGATGGATTAGAGACCTTTGAAAAGTTAATGAAGGAATCAGGTAATGAACACAAAGATAAAACAATGAAAAAGTCAGGAAGCGTCCCTAATATGCGGATCTATCTTGAGATGATCAAATCAGGAAAGTCGAAACCTATCAGAAGAATGCGGAGGTCTAGTCAAATGCGTAAGCTTGTGTTTTAATTTTATAGTTAGCTATAAAGCAAGAGGGTTGTCGCTGATTCATAAAGATCCCAGAAGAACAGCATTCATTAATAATTTAGCCCCTAGGACTAGGTATATCAATTATTTTTAGTCTTTAGGTTACTCCAGAAGGTGCCTTCTGTAAAGAGTTTGAAAAAGATGAATTTTAGATCACGTAACCCCAAGAATGAATATTTTGAGTGATCAATGCTTAGTCCTATCATTAAGCACTATTATGGGTTGAACAACTTAGCTGCAACACCGAATGTAAAATTTAGGACTCATCTTTAACCCTCAATATTGTATAATTTCAGCTTATATCTTACCCAGAGGGGTTTTGGGGTTTTGGGGTTTTGGGGTTTTGGGG